ACCAAATATTAAAAAAATGCATTTTCCAAAAACCATAACAATTTTCTGAACTTTGCTCCATACTTAGTATCTTCATTAAGTTCTATACCATACATGGCTTACTTTACCATACATAGCTACTTATTTTACCATACATGGCTACTTACTTTACCTTACATGGTTACTTACTTTATCATACATGGCTGTTTACTTTACCATACATGGCTAATTACTGTACGAATATTATAATAACCACAATTTTCTTCTTATAATAACCACAATTTTCTACTTAAAAATGAAAATATAAAAAACGAAATTTAAAATTTAAAAGACTAAAGAAAAAATGTTTTCCAAAAATTTAAAATAGATGAAAAAGTTACAAGATAACAAAAACACGGTTTTAAAGAAAATAAAGAAAACATCTGCTTTTAATGCTTTTGTTGGAATAGAACATAAAAAAAACAATTTAAAAAATTAGAAAGAAGATTGATTCAACTAAAATTAATTAACTATTAAAATCAAATTTAACTATTAAAATTAAATACTATTTTAAGTTATGCCATTAAAATAAAGCCTTTAATTTCACAACTAAATAAAAGACAATGTTTTTCTAAAGACAGCATATGCCCACCAATCCCATTCCACTTCATATTTACAGTCTAATTAAAGCCCATAAACTTGCAAATTTTTTTAATGAGAATTTTTACATCGAAAATTGTCACACCTTGTTATAAAATGTGCAATTAATTAGTTAAAAAATGCATCAGGTCTTAAATTAAAATCCTACATGATTGAAAAAAAATTTATTAGTAAAAGCATTAAATGGATTATTGACAGAGACAAGTTACAAGTATTTTTTGATATAGCAAACTTATACCCATCAATCTGTTTAAAGGAAATAAAATCAATCCACAAAGACTCAACTAAAAATGATCTAATGATAAATAAAAGATTTCCTTAATTTTTTTTTTGTCTCTTGTAAAACAATTCATAATTTAGAGAACTCATTGTATTCAAACAAAGAAATACAATTCATTAGGTTTTCTACTTCTTTGTTGAATACATTGTTGTCTTAGCTGAATTTTTGTGAAGCAAACGCTTTTAAAATGGCAATGACAAGAAACCCTTTACTTGACAATCATCAACATAAATTTTAAATATGTTGATGATTGTTATTGTTGAACCAAATTGAACAACCAAACAATTTTTAAAACACCTTTAACAAACAACTCAATTCCTTAAAGTATAGAATTGAAATTAAAACAATAAATTTCTATGATATTACTTTTAATATGTACAAATGAACTAAAGAGACCAGTGAAATAGAACAAAAGTGGACCAGAGGACATTTAGAAGCCACTTTCAATTTTAATTAGCATAATATTATGGACTGTTTAAGGGTTAAAACAACAGCATCAAAAAAATTATATTTAAATACTAATTGTTTTAAAAAAACCTTTTTTTAAACTAATTTAAAAAAAATTAATATACTTTTTATATTTTTTATAGTTTATATTTATTTATATATTAGAATATATATTTTTTAATTTTAGATTTTGAATACAAATTTTTAAACTGATCTAAGTATCATTTTTGTTTAAAAAATTGTATAAAGAAACAATTTAAAATTGTTACAACATATTGTGAATTTTTATAATGCCAGGTTTTTAAACTTTTTTAACAATGTGTAAAAAATGCTGCAGGCAACTATATAGTTCTAAAGTTACTAAGGAAATTACTAAGTTACTGCAATTTATAAGTTTTATTAAAGTTACTAAGGAAATAAAAAAGTTTTGTCTTTCCTAACTTAAGAAGAAATCTATATAAGTTAAGGAACATGGTTACAAGAAAATTTCAAAACACTAATGCTATCTATATCAGCAACACATTGTTTAAAAGTAAACAACAAAACTAATTTACCAGACTGATCAACGCAGCAAGTAATTTAAAAAAGAATTAAAAGTAAAAAAAAGAACTAAAAGCAAAACAAACGCAATTTCAACATTTTAATCAGAATTTCAGTAATGTTAAAAAATTCGATATAGATTTTTAGACCTAAATCTTTATAAAAGTGAAAAGCATTCATACTTTCAAATTTCATTCATTCAACCATATATATAAAAACAGTTTTTTTTCTTCATGTTTACATTTATGATTTCACCAAACAAGTGTGAACATGTTTCCATAATGCTATTTTTCATGTTTAACATTATGGAAGAGTTTGAATAATTACATTACAAAAATTATTTACAAAAATTTTAACATTTTGCAGAACAGCACTGAGTACTTTTTGGTGGCACTAGACACTAGGAGGATTACTAACCTTTTTACCAGCTCCTCCTAATCTCACCCACAATTAAACTGAGAGTTTAACATCACTTTTCCTAATTAAATTTCATTTACCATGATTTCACCTCCATAATATAGGATCACCTCCATAATATAGGATCAACTTAACGTTACGATCAAGATCACAAGATCAAATGGGTTTTTGTCATAACGATAAATTGGCACATTCTCTTATATTGTCAAATAATAATTGATAATGTCTAAAGCTTTATTTTCTTTTTAAATCTTGTTGAAGTCCTCTTTTCACTTACCATTTGCAATTGCTAATCTGAATGATTAATTTTACCTTTGTCATTGAGGGAAAGTTTTACCCAGATAAGACATAATTATATTATTTTAAGAGCATAAAAACAAGAATTTTCTATAATTCTATTATTATTCTTAAAATATTAATTCTAAGATGGAGTTTTTTAAAATAATGCCATTAATAAAAATCAAATCTTGTATTATTTCTCTCATGCATAGGTCAGCTTATTAAGTTTTTCAAAAATTAAGCAAAATTGCTTTTGCATTGAATTTATTACTTGATTTCATAATTTATTACTTTGATTACACTGCCTCCTAAGTTCATGATAAATAAGTAATAAACCTATTTTTTCTCCAGATGTTATTATCTCTCTGGCTTCTATAACTTTGGTTATTTTTTAATTCTTGATCCTTTCAACTACCAAATTCTTGCTAAAGCAGAACTTTGGCCTCTTTTTTTTTTCTTTGTCTCAATCTAAATCTGTTTGACTGTTTCTTTGGTCCAAACTGCCTAAAAGATATTAAAACAAAATGAAGAGAAATTAAAATTAAAAAAGGCTAAGATAAGTAATAAAACTAAAGGGTGACAAAATTTAAAGCCTAGAAGGCAGCAAAGAACCTAATACAAGAACCCAGTAACTTAGTATGATGACCATCAAAGTTAACATTATTGAAAAACAGATGATAAATAACAAACAACAATATTGAAAATGAGAGCAAACATTGAAAATGAGAAAGAGTCAAAAATTGAGCAGTCTTAAAAAGAAAGTTTGAACAGTAGAGAACTGAAAGTTTGAACAGTAGAGAACAAAGAGAAAAATGATCTTGAGAATGCTTAATGAAAACATGTAAAAGATTTGTCAAAAGGTTCAAAGATTTCACACCAAAAAAAGCAATTCATACGCAAAAATATGCTCAAGCCAAGTGCATGACAGTATTTGCAGATATAAGAAAATAATCAATACAAAAATTGTAAAAGAGTTTCACTTCAATTACACTTATAAAGGCCACTGGTGAGTTTTGAAAAGTTAAAATTCCATGAAATAAAAATTACTTAAATAACACAAAAAATAGAAAAATGTATTGCTTGTTGGTAGCCACAAAATCATCAGGTAATTATTCAAATGTAATTATTTATTGTATTATAAATTATTATATTGCTTGAGGTAACTTTTTATTATTTTGTTTTAAGAAAGTATTTATGATTTATAAATAACAATAATGTTAAATTGTATGTAGTTTTTGTAAAATTTTTGCTTATTTTGTAACAAATATTTTAATGTTGCTTTGACTGCAAAATATTCAAAAGAAAATGCATATCACAAGATATTGCAGCAGTGCAGGATTGTACAAATACCAGTAATATCATTTGATATACCAGGAATATCATTTGATACAACTGAAACTAACACAGACTGTATAAATAGATCTTGTGCTTTATTGGAAGAAATTATAACTGTGGAACTGTCTAGCCTATCAATGTAGTAGCTTTCTATTTGGTTAATTATTTTATTGCATTTCAATAACAAAATTGCACAGTATGTTTTTAACTTAGTAATGTTTAATGTTTCTAAGATAATAAAAGAAAGTAAATTTATATATATTATAATAATAAAATAACAAATTTCTAATAATAAATTTTATTGTTTTCATTTTACCTCAAAATTACCTCATTTATTATGCTTAAATAATGAACTTTCATGGTTTTTAAGGCAGACTATTATGTCAAACCCTTATTCCAATCTTAAGCGTCCACTAACTATACGTCTTTTGCATCCACTCATGAAGGGTTCGATAAGTTGGAATATAAAAGGATAGATGCAGCATATACATAGACAGACTGACTTAAGGATGGACGTGGTGAGTGTACTAGAGGTTGGGATAGGTGGCAGTTAGCAGAGTATAGCTGGCAGCAGAAAAGGCTCAGTGATACAACTGAGGGTTTGGGCAGGTAGTCTTGCAAATGAAAGGATAGCTTTTCTATATATATATATATATATATATATATATATATATATATATATATATATATATATATATATATATATATATATATATATATATATATATATAATATATATATATATATATATATATATATATATATATATATATATATAATATATATATATATATAATATATATATATATATATATATATGCATGTATATATAAATATATATGTATGTATATATATATATATATATATTTATATATATATATACATATATATATATTTATATATATATATATATATATTATATATATATATATATATATATATATATATATATATATATATATATATAATTTTGCATATATGTAATTATGCATATGTATAATTATACATATATATAAATATGTATATTTATAAAACAATATAATTTAAATACATTTTACAAGTTATTAATAAATTTTGCATTTACCATTTATGTATTGACTGTTGTTAATAAATAGCCAATCTGAAGCATCTAACATTAATCCATTTGCTTTTTTTAGATATAAAGTTAAATTTCGTGTATTACCATCTTGTTCATCATAAAAAGCATCACCAGGAATAAGATATCGAAATAATCCACACTTTGGATACAAACTTAAATCTCCATTTGATTTTGGAGGGGTATTAGGAGGTTTGAAACACTTTTTATTTATTGATACAGACAAAATTGTAAACTTGGAGTTTTCTTTAAAATATTTGTAAATCATTTCATTAACGTTGTAGGAATTATCTTTAAAAGTTGTAATTTGAGTTAAAAGGCTTGAAATGCTTGTATAGTAAAAGTTTGAAAAAGGAGAATTAATAAATGAAGAAGTGTATGAACAATTTGTCCATATTATTCGAAAGTTATATGGATACCCAGTGTACCTTTGAAAGCTATATATTTGAATTGTGTTGCTATCAGATTTTAAATATGCTGATAGAGTTGTCATAAATAAAAATACAATGTTGACATCATTGTAGTCTGAATTATATTCTGAACTTAAAAGGAACTCAAAAAAGCAGAGTTCTGTTCCATATTTTTGCAAGCTTTCAAACTTGGTGTAACCAAAACTCCATTGACTAGATTTAAAAGAACTTGTTATTTGATTTACAGATGTAAGTAAATAATTTTGGCTTGGACTCATTTGAGTGATTGTTGCTACACCATAAAACATTTGTTGTGGGCCATTAAACTGCAACCAAGATGATCTTTGAACAGAACTACCATTTGTATAAAGCAAATTCAAACAAAACGATTTTGAATCAAGATAACCTAAGATATCTTGAAAAGCATTTGATGGAACATAAAACTTCCAAAATCCACATTCATTAACAGGAATTGGAGGTGGAGCAATAACAACTGTATCACTTCCCCCATTTTGACCACAACTTCCAAGGCAAAACTGAGTAGAGTATGGAATAATATAAGGTTGCATGGCAGTGATGAACTGAGAGACAGGCTTATTCTGTATAGTGGTCAACTTCATTATAATATTATCCAAATTTTGTTGAGTGCATATAATTAAAGAACAGTGTGTCCAAACAATTGTTGATGGATAGTCATAAGATTTTATGTAGATTTGTCCAAGCTTAAATAAAAAGTTTGTCCATCAAACCAAAAAAATAAAGCTTAAATGGAAAGCAATTAAAGTTTGTCTGTCAAACCAAAAGAAATAAAAATATATTGAAGAGTAACTAAATTTTGTCTAACAAACCAAAAAAAAAAAAAAATTAAACAAGAACTAATTAAATTTTGTCCATCAAACGAACAAACAAAAAATTAAACGAAAAATAACTAAATTTTGTCCATCAAATAAAAAAAAAAATTAAAATTAAACAAAAATTTTGTCCATCAAATCAAATGAATAAGCAAATTTTTAGTTTTTTTAAAAAAACAACAACAAACAAACAAAAAAATAAGAAAAAAATTAAATTTTTTAAAATTGTAAAACTTAAAAAAATTCAAATTCTAGATTTACTTAACAAATAATTAACAAGCAAATTAATTTATAAAAATTTACAAAATAAACAAACCTTATCGCTTGAATTCAGATACACTGATAAGTTCCTGACAAATGTAAATAAAAGAAATGCAGTACTCATGTCAGTTTTCAAAACATCAAACCCGGTTCGAAAAAATGGATCAAAGGATATATCTTTTGTACTGGTAAGTATCTTATATGACACATTTGCAGTTCTACCTGAAGAATCAGTTGCTACAATTAAATATTGATATTCTGTGGCTCTTTGAATTACTTGTGGTGTCAACACTCCATATACATACTGATCATCATTCATTTGTATCCAATGATCAGGAGAGACTTTATTTCCATTTTGAAACGTAAGACTAAGCTGTAAAAATCTAGTATTTCCATCGCGCTTATCGTAAAATGTCATACTGTCAATTCTTTTGTAAAACAAGCTGCAAAAATCAGCATGTTCAATATAGTTTTTATTAGGTATGGGTGGTTCTTCAATGCAATCATAATTTCCTGACACTTCCAATATTTCAAAATATTCAGACATAAAACTGAAGTAGTCGGGATTTATTTTACCAGTTACTAAAACCACTTTAGAAAAAATAAAACTAATTTGGCTGCGATATGCTTCAGTGAGTCCACGAGTTGCTTCAAGTTGTGAGGAAAATGAAAATGAGCAGTTACTCCATACAACTTGATATGAACTGTTAACTTTTTGAAACTGTATGATTTTAATGTTATTTACCTTAGAATCACCATAATAGGAGCTTGTTTTTTCAATAAAAAGTCGAAGCACATCTAACTCGGCCAATTCTTCAACTACAAACTTGTAGTTAAAGGTAACACTTATTTTGCAGTCAGTTGTAAAAGGGTAATTGTTCATTGTAAAGTTAAAACCTGACAAAGCTGTTAAGTTTGCACTGTTAGTAGCCTGAATAAAATATCGATAAGAGGACTGAATTTTAAATAACGATAGTATGCTAATAGCAAATAGTTCTTGAGTGGCAGAGTTGATCTGGACCCAAGATGATGTTGATACTTTTTTATCTTAAAAGAAAAATTAAATAATTAAAAAAAAATTATATAACTTACAAAAAAAATTATATGCAAGTGGTTGTAAAAAATTGTTTATCCACTAAGTTTAAAATAAATCAAGTTTATTTTTAAATCAAAATGGCTTATATAAAAAATAGGCATATGCAAAAGTCTGGCATTTTTGTGTAATTGATAAGGTAATTTTTAACTGAGATAACATCTTGTTATAAAGTTTTTTTCTAAGGTAATATATAACATATTTTAAGTTAATTTATAACAGAGATAACGTCTTGCTATGAAAGGTTGTTGCACCTGCTTTTCCATGTTTTTGGGCTGGGTAGCAGGTGCAACGTTAAAAAAGTTAAAAATTGTATTATCTATTATCTATTGTAAAAAAAGTTCATGAAAGATTTTAGGAAAATAAAAAAGATTTGTTGATGGCATTTGAGTCCCATAAAAAAGTTTTTGACAGAGAACCAAGGGAGGTAATTTTGGCTGAAAGGTGTTTAGTAAAGATATATACCGGATATGATATCTGGCGGGTATCTAGCATAAAAAAATGGATACTTAAAAAATGGATATCATTTATATGTATTGACACCAGGGATATAAAGTCTTATCAATTTTCAGGGACTCTGCACAACAAATTGTTTTTTTTAATGATTGGACACTTTTTTGATTGGGCACTTTTTTTTTAATGACTGGGCAGGGCGCAACAGTTTTTTTTTTTTTAATGATTGTTTAAGTTAGTATCTTTATTTATTAACTAATTATTAATCTTAATAAATTAATCAATTTAATTCATAAATCTAATTTAAGAGCTATATGTCAAACAAGGAAGTTTTATTTTTAAATAACTTTTATTCTAGTTAAGAAGTTGTTAGATATATCAAAGATCTTTATTGAATTTAATTAATTTTTATTTTTTTAAAACAACTTTTTAAGCATTTGTAAAGTATTTTAATGATAATTAATATGCAATGATTGTGAACTACTGTCCATTAATACAAAATAGTGAATTTTCTCATTTCAGTTTGTTAAATTTATTTACAAATAAAAAAAAAATTTAAACTTAAAGAAATTAAAATAAAAAGAACTAAAATGGAAAAATTATATAATATAAGTAGTTATATAATAATGCAAAATCTAAAATTACCACTGAATTGCAAGATATATCTGAGCTTTTGTAATTTTTATAACTTTTTTGAATAGTTTGATATAATGTTGTAACTATATATGTATAGTGAATATATATAATAATAATAATATATGTATGTATATATGTATGTATGTATGTATGTATGTATGTATGTATGTATGTATGTATGTATGTATGTATGTATGTATGTATGTATGTATGTATGTATGTATGTATGTATGTATGTATGTATGTATGTATGTATGTAGGTATGTATGTATGTATATGTGTATGTATTTATTTAACTGCGTAAAAGATAAGTTAAGATAAATTTTTTTTTTTGATTAGTTTGAATGGGTCGCTTGCTTCAACAAAAAGTATTCTTTTTTTTTTAATACCTTTTTTTACATTTTTTTACTTTTAACTTTATTTTTTTACTTGTTTTTTTATAACATTTATTATAGGTATTCTGGTCTTTAATCTTACTTTGCAATTTTTTTTTAAAAAAAGTAATTTAAAAAATAAAAACTGTCTTTGCAATGACATCACAAATAGCGGAGGTGGTTTTTGACGGTAAAAAGGAAAAAATAAGAAAAATGAAGATAAGGAAAATCAAAAATTATTATTTTAAAAAAAGACGTATAAAAAAACAGCAACAAACAATATAAAAACAATATCAAATAATATAAATAGGTAAAATGATTGAGGAGAAAAAGCACTAAAAAAACAAAAACGTAATTTAAATTAAATAGAAAGTTAAAAGTTTAAAAATGTTCGAAAAAAAAAAAAAAAAAAAAATGATAAAAAAGTTCAACAACATTTTACTACCAATGAAAAAGAAAGAAAAAGAACATTTTTTTTAACTTTAATTTTTTAAACTATTTTAGTACACTGTTCATACTGTAATGCATTTTTGTGCTTTGTTTAAATTGTCCTTTATTTTTGTACGTTGTTTATTTTGTAATGTAATTTTGTGCGCTGTTTGCATTGTTTGTTTGTTGTTTTTTTGTTGTTATTGTTTTTTGTTTTTGTGTTCTTATGTATTGTTCATTGGGCATTGTAGTAAATAGTTCATATTGTTATATGTTTTAGTTCGTTGTTTGCATTGGTATTTATTTTTTATTTAGTTTAATGTTGTTAACTTTGTTAGCTATTGTGTTTATGAAAACAAGTGCCATACTATTTTTATTATTATTGTTACTATTATTATTGTTATTGTTTTTGTTGTTTTATTATTATGGTAGTTTTTATGTTTATTACTATAAATACTATTTTTATTATTATCATTAGTATTTTATTATTATTTTTAATTACATATATAAAGATATGTATGGTGTATACTTAAGATTAGTAAAATTACAATATGTAAATATCCATAAAATATTCTTCAGAACATGTGATATGATTGATTGATTAAACAAATATTGTTTTAACAACTTATTTTTTTAAATCTAAAATAATAATATCATATTAAGTATTTAATATTAAGTTAATAAAAGTTTTTGGTGTTGTTAAATGCACAATAAAAAAATAAAAACTATAATAATCATAATAAGACAAATGAAAATTAATACTATAAAAATATAAGTAGTAAAACTATAAGTAAAACATAAAAAGTTCTATCCAATTATATTTTAGCAAAACTTAAAAATATTTTATAAAACTTTTAAAAGTGTTTTTAATAAGCAAACAAACGTACTTCATTTTGAGGAAAATAAGAAAATTAAAAAAAAAGCACGCTCCTTAAAGAAAGCAATCATAATATTTAAGCATGTTTTTTTTTTTTTTAAATAATTGCAAATGCATTCAATTTATGTTAAATTTTGCATGCTTTTGTAAACGTATGGAAAAACCATGCTAAAACATATCTTTCTTCAATATCATACTTAGTTATTTTACTTAAAATAAACACTATTAAAGAAAGTGATCATGTTTTAGCATGGTTTCTTTTAAAGTCTTTGAAAATGCATTTTAAACTTTAGTAACTAATTGTTTTTTTTATTTTAATATATAAAAAAGTATCAACAGCATAAGTATTTGGAAAAAATTTTTTTCAAACGTTCTTTTTTTTAACAAACATTTTTTTTTTAAACAAGCGTTCTTTTTTTTTACAAAGGGGTGCATATTCACCAATTTGTTGCGCCCTGCCGGGGTCAATAAATAGGGAATCCTTGGAATCCCATATTTTTTTCTATAAATTTTTTGAGTCAATTAACCACAGTTTTTAGGGATGAAGTAGTTCCTGAAATGCTTGTAAACTTTTAAAACAGAATTTAGATTATTGAACTTTTTACAAAAAGGAATTTCTAATATTCGAAAAAGTTAATTTGAATAAATTAAAAAGCAAAAAAAAGAAAAAAAATTGTTACGAAAATTGATCTCGTGAAAATTTAAACTATAGAAAACATATTTGTTTAAATGCAAAAGTTGTTGTTTTTAAAATTTTATGTAAAAAAATATAATTTTTTTAAAACAAATTAATAAAAAAAAAACATCCGGAAATTTTTGGAAATTTAAAGGAGTTTTAAGTGAATTTCCGGAATTCCAGGTATTTCCGGAAAAAATTCATCTATGGTTAGTTTACACAATAACATTATTAACCACTTAAAAAAATTACTTATTTTACTTTAGCATCAATGTATGTTTGAATGTGTAAATATTTGTGTCTAAGCTAGGGTTGCCATTGTCCTGGTTTTTAGGCAAAAATGCAAAGTACTAACTAGTTGAAATTAAAATTTTCATTGCATTCTCCTATGGATAAACCAAGACAATGACAATCCTAGCCTAAGCATGATTTAGTATCTAGCTATAAAAGTACACCAAAGAATTTGTACACCACATGTGCTGTGATTCACCACTTATATTCTTTAAAAGCAATGTATACTAAAGGTGATGTATGCCATAAACACGCTGCACATTTTTGAATAAACTATATGCTAGAGGGCTTGTCCATAGACAGTGTAATTCAATGCGCTTGTGCTTATAATGGTTTAAAGTTACATAATTTGTTGATCTAAGACTTAAAGACTTGGCTAATAACAGATAGAATAATAGATAGACCTTGCTAATAACAGATAGAATAACCTTGCTAATAACTGATTGGACAGAAGGGTCAAAAAGTTCTCTAGAGTTTTTAAATTTGAACCACAGAGACCACAGATGTCATTTTTCAGCAGGCAGGAAAACAAGACTCAGTCAACCAAAACAGTTCTGGAGATAACTCAAGCATTTATTAGATAGTATAGAGAGAATTGATAAGAATACCAAAAAACACTGTTGTAAGATTATGACAGGAAAATTTCTGGGCCACAAGCTATAGAAAAGTTTATTTGATATACAATTTTAGCAACAAAAGTTGGTTTTCAATTGATGGTTACTTCAAAGCCACAAAAATACCATGAATTTTTGTGACAGATATATTGAGTTAGATGGTGAGGATAGTTTTTATGTTTAATATTTTATGTAACTTTGGGCATGATATAAATTTAAAGAGAACTTATTCATAGATAAAGCACAACATCCCAAGCTTAATTAATCCAAAGTCATAATGTAGGGCTCCTTATGTGGCCTCAACAATGGACAATAAAAGAATTAACAGGGAAACCAACTATGCGTAACATGACACTAATAATTTAATATTTTACAGCTGTTGATAGAATCTCTCTGAGAGCTACCATAGAATCAGTCTCTCTAAGAGCTACCATAAAGTTTGGGAAACCTTACTACAATTTAGCCTCAGAACCATTAAACTCATTTTAAGAGCTGTACCCTCATTAAGAGATAATAGGAAAAGTTGCATAGCCACAACCTAAAAGGTAAAAGAAAATATTAAAGATTTGAGTGAAGAAGATCCAGAGGTTATAAATATTATAAATGGTACATCTTTAGTGTTTAGGTTTTCAAAAATCATACAGTTATCATGACTATGCATGAAAATGTTACAACAGCAATCAAACCAAAATATTTTAAAGTAAAGGTGTGGATCAGGATTCATGGCTCAGTTTGTAACGCATTTCAGTTTAATTCAAGATCTACTCTATGTTTCACACTGTAGTCTAAATGTAATTACACATTGCAGAAACATGAGAATTAATACTAAATTTAAGTCGAATGATATCTGGAAGAATTTCCTCCAGATGTAATTAAATCTGGAAAAAAAATTTATGTAACTACATCTGGTTAAAACAATGCATTATTAGTTTTTTGTTTTTTTCCAGATGAGATTACATCTGAAAAAGATCTTATATGTAACTAAATCTAGTTAAAATAATGAATTATTAGTTAATATTTAAAAATTCTGGAAAACATTTTCATCTGGTTAAAATGATGCATTTATTTAATATATATTTTTAGTTATTCTTATTATAATAAAAAATAAGCTAACTTCATCTGTAGAATCTACAGATCTAGTTGAACAGATGCTATTCTTAATATAACTTAAAAAATGAAACTCCATCAGATGTAGTCACACAGATGTTGTTATACTGAGGTAACTGATAAGATGTGACTACATTTGTAATATTCATATATTTTTTGAACAGATGCTATTAGACACCATTGAAATTTCAGATGTTGTAGGAGAGATGTTATTATAACTTTATTACATAACCAACGAATATTGATGTTGATGGTGTCCTAGTGAATCTTTTTTTACAACTATAGATATATTAGGGCAGGTTGATTTTGAAACTGAGTTATTAGATTAGTAGGATGCATTATTGCAAGTTAAAACATCAATCTGAAGAAATTTTTGCATATTTTTTTTTTTTTTTTTTTGAAGAAAGCTAATTTTTAATGCATTTTATTCTATAAAAGCAATGTTTTTAAAAAGGTTTCAAAATAAAAACACAAATAATGCTTTTATAAAATTTTTATTTCAAATAATGCTTTGTAAAATAACATATTTGAAAATCATTGAGCTCAGAATATTATTTAAAAGAAATAATTTTTTAATTTTACTTTTAAATATATCCAATTAAATAGCCATACTTCATAATTTTTGATAAATTTTATTAAAATAGATAAATTTATGAATGTAAAATGATTTTATTTCATTTTTTCTTAACATAAAGTTAGTTTACTTAAACAAAGATTAAAAAATGTTGTTTTTAATAAATAAAAACCAATATTTTAGGCCTAATTGTATTACAAAGAACAGCTTTTTTAGATTTATTAGAGAAAATGGAAAATGCTGGATTTTTTCAGTGTTTTTTTTCCTGTAGCTTTTCAAGTTAACTATTTTACATCAGGAGATTTTTTTGAAATTAGAATTTCTCATCTATTGAGACTTAGGTAGACTGTTTTTTAAAAACGTTTTTATCTAACAAAAAAAAGACCCCTCACAATGACAATTTTGGGGGCTCAAAAATTGTTGCAAAATTGAAAGCTAAAATTTTTATAAATTTTTTATAAAAAAAAAAATTTTATTTTACTTTTATTAGGATTAAATCAAACTAATTTTAACTATTTTCCGAAAAACTTTCCGAAAAACTAATTTTTCCGTAAAATAATTAAACTTTTGCTTTACTATTTAAAATAATTAAATTTCAAAATCAAAGTGTTTAACACAATTAGACAAATATATAGAAATTATTTAATTTTTTATTTTTTGATTAAAAACAATCTTATAACTTCGAAAAAAAATTGTTTGATTTTTTATTTTTTGATTAAAAACAATCTTATAACTTCGAAAAAAGAGATTTCATAACAATAATTCTGGTCAGAAAACAAAAGCTTTAAGAAGTCATGATGTAATTCATGATGTTATGCAGAAAATTAAAGACAAAAGTGGTTCAACTCTTAGATCAAATACCTGCTAATTAATATATGGATTTGTATTGAAACATTTTATATAATATTATAAATTTAATACTTATTGAAAAAATTGAGAAAATTGCATAAGAAATGACCTAGGAAAATAAACATGTTATCTTGACACTAATTTATGCTACATCACTTATGCTACTATTTGTCAAAACAGATTTCCTCATAAATCAGCTGAAAATTTCTGAAACTAAAAAGACAGATGACCTGATTCTTAATAGCAAAACAAAATACTGTTATTAAATAAATCTTAAGTATTACAATAAAAATTTAAAAAAAATTTTTTTTATTTTTAAAAACAAAACATTTATCATCAATTTACTTACAATTATTATCCAGCAATGTAAATGCCAAGTGCTGTGAGCCTTCACTATCAATAAACAAATCAGCTGGTAATCGAAAAACATAAACACTGCAAAAGTTAACACCTGGTGGAGATATCGGATTAAAAGGACGGGGTGGCGGTGGCG